TATTACTATTACTATTACTATTACTACTTATACGATCAATTATTGTACATTTTTAGTTTTAATTTTTAGAATATACCAGGGTCATGGATTACCTGTCACTAGCTGATTACTTTAGTGAAGTGTAAACCCCATGTTACCAGTAAAAATGAAGTATCGTATCATAAATAGGTGTTGTATCGTATCTATAATGCAGTTTAATTCAGTTTAGATATTATGGTATTGAAGCAATTAAAAAATGTTTTACTAAAAATAATCTTGTGAATAACATGTTGTCTCATTTAAATTGCCTTGCAGTACTTAGAGAGAAGATTTTCCTTCAGTGTACGGATGTTAGGATCTGTAGTATTTGTAATACAAACAGTGAGTGAAAGTAAACTAGTAAAATTGGAAGTGTTTTTTTCCTGAAAAGACAAATCTTTCTAATTTCTCAAATTATTCTTAGTTATTTTGATAAACAGCATACTTGGCTTTTTTTTTAGGTGCTGTACACTGCTATTGTATTATATGGTCCATCTCTAACTTTAGAGTCAGGTAAAAAGTAATTTATAATTTATTTAATTAAATATAAAAAACAAATAAAAAATAGATCGCTTTAAGTGTGGAAGCCTTTAGCACTACTGTGCTTATTGAGGACACTGAAATGAGCAAACAAATATTGTAAATTGAACAGAAACTTCTTAAAAATCCCAGCTGGCAGAGGACTGACCAGTTGGCTATTTACAAAGCATGGAGGAGTTGAATCTGGGACCACCAAATACAAATCCATTCAATGACAGGGAGGATGAATTGAACCCGGGACCCCTGGATTACAAATTCAGCACCCTAACCACTAGGTCACGCTGTCTTCACAAAATATATATATGTATATTGATACCAGGTATCCAGTTGAATTGATTTGTAAACAAACTACTAATAAAAGGTATAATATTATTAGCATTATTTTGTGTAAGTGTGTTGGTGACATGCACATGGCTTTAATTTACTGAACATTAATGCCATTATAGTCTGTAGATTTTATATCTGGTGTAAGTTTAATTTTAGAAGTGGGTCACTCCTGGTGAAACATGCATCTTTTTTACCATCCACTTATTCAGTTGTCCTGGACAGAATAAGTCGTATAATGATCACCCAGCAACTGTGTTGTGTTTTATGTTTTAGTGACAGGGTTTCCATTATGGCTTTCAACGATCCTAACTGGACTTGTCTGTACTTTTTATACCACTGTGGTAAGTGTAATAACACGGTAATAAATATTAATTTGTGTTCAAAANTATTCTTAGTTATTTTGATAAACAGCATACTTGGCTTTTTTTTTAGGTGCTGTACACTGCTATTGTATTATATGGTCCATCTCTAACTTTAGAGTCAGGTAAAAAGTAATTTATAATTTAAACAATTAAATATAAAAAACAAATAAAAAATAGATCGCTTTAAGTGTGGAAGTCTTTAGCACTACTGTGCTTATTGAGAACACTGAAATGAGAAACAAATATTGTAAATTGAACGGAAACTTCTTAAAAATTCCAGCTGGCAGAGGACTGACCAGTTGGCTATTTACAAAACATGGAGGAGTTGAATCTGGGACCACCAAATACAAATCCACTCAATGACAGGGAGGATGAATTGAACCCGGGACCCCTGGATTACAAATTCAGCGCCCTAACCACTAGGTCATGCAGTCTTCACAAAATATATATATGTATATTGATACCAGGTATCCAGTTGAATTGATTTGTAAACAAACTACTAATAAAAGGTATAATATTATTAGCATTATTTTGTGTAAGTGTGTTGGTGACATGCACATGGCTTTAATTTACTGAACATTAATGCCATTATAGTCTGTAGATTTTATATCTGGTGTAAGTTTAATTTTAGAAGTGGGTCACTCCTGGTGAAACATGCATCTTTTTTACCATCCACTTATTCAGTTGTCCTGGACAGAATAAGTCGTATAATGATCACCCAGCAACTGTGTTGTGTTTTATGTTTTAGTGACAGGGTTTCCATTATGGCTTTCAACGATCCTAACTGGACTTGTCTGTACTTTTTATACCACTGTGGTAAGTGTAATAACACGGTAATAAATATTAATTTGTGTTCAAAATTTACTGTTTTAAGGTTGTTTTTTAATTTGTTCACAATAGTAAACTGCGTTTGATTTCATTCATAATTGCCCATCAGTATCTATGCAGTAGACCAAAGCAGTGGTTTTATGTTTCAGTCAGGCTGCCATGGTATTCACACCTGTAACAAGCTTGTTGCTCAGTAAAATTTGCCAAAAACAAGCTAGGTCACCTGGACCATCAAGGTCCATTCAAATCTATTTTAAAATTCAGTTTCATAGTACATGAAGTTTTCAATAACCAAGCAAAATAAATTGCAGAAAATGTTTGGGAACCCACTTTCAGTTTCTTTTGTCAGTGTCCTTTAGGCCTCACTACTAAGCTGTATAATATGCATGTCAAAAGTGATCTACTGTTCATGTACATGTATTAAGAATACCAGAAATGGCAAAAACAATGGTGAAACACGGTGTTCATACAGTATTTAGAGTGCGACCCCTAATTTCTATGTAATAGTCTGTGAAATATTATATTATGTTAGTGTAAATCTTGCTAAGGTCAGAGGGTATGAGATATCATAAATTGCATACATACAAGTTTAATTAAATTTATAAACAAAAATTGTGTATAAATTTGAAAAGGGAGTTTCAAATTCAAAATTATCCCTCTTTCATACTTTCAGGTTACATGACTTGTACATTTGTCTTAGAAAGATCTGGTACCTGTATACTTTCATTAAAGCAGCTTTTTTTGTTTTAATTTTTTTTCTTTCAGCTAGTTTGTTTATCAACAGTTTTAAAAATTTCAACAGTCTTATGTGCAAGGCTTCTTAGCTGCTAAGATATTATTGTACGGATAGAGTGGTTTTCAATAAAGTGTCGCAAGTAATCAGGTAATTGCTTTGGTGTTGGTTTTTCTATGGTTTGAGATTGGTTGAGTAGTCTAACTGGTAAGTAATTGGTTTGGTTTTGGTTTTACAACACTCAATTGAAAACCACTCTATAAAAAGTTAAGTACAATATTACTACTGGGCAAATCTTTGCTGTCTCACTATGATGAACACATACTGTATTTGTGTTTCCTCTTCAGGGTGGAATGAAAGCTGTAATATGGACTGATGTATTTCAAGGAGTTGTTATGTTAGGAGGCATGATAACAATCATTATTGTTGGGACAGTTAAGGTTGGTAGTCTGGGCAAGGTGTTTGATGTTGCTTACAAAGGACACAGACTTCAGTTAAAGTAAGTTTAGGCCTAACACTTTTATTAAATACAGTGAATGATCCAGAAAGTATTCATATCCCCTCTCACCAAATGCTACTTGGCATGCACCCCCTCCCCTCCCTGTCCCCAACCTGTACCTGTATACCCCCTCAGAATTTCCTGTGATCTTCCTTGGGGGTGGGTATGGATGTTTCCTGAAACTGTATTATTATAAAAATAATTTCTTACTTGCTATAGCATGGCTAAAATCCTTCAAGTGCTGTATAAATGTATTGGAATAGCTTATTAGAATGATAAGTAACCAATTAACAATTAGACTGCAAGCTTATTTTTATTTGCTGATAACAAAGGTATCAAAATCGACAGCGAGCACTCCAGTTACGTGTATCTAGTAACAATAGTAATCTTGTGACTCATCTTTTTAACTTCCATCTATAACATTGATTAACTACAGATTAAATGGTTTTGCTTTAGTTTTGGTAATTACACATGACGTGTTATGCACCAGTACCATTGCCCCAAGGGATTTCTGTTGAACAGAAGCAGGTTCATCAACCATAGCAAGTCTCATGTCTTGCATGTACAATTTTCATTGATTTTCTGTAAAAAAAATTTAATGTATAAATACACTTAGAAAGTTTGCACATGCAGTCCATTCCATGTGCATGTGTATGTATTTATTTATTTACATATTACGTTTTCTACAGTTTCTCTGTAGATCCAACTCGCCGAGACACATTCTGGGCTTTTGTTATTGGTGGTGCTTTTCAAATGCTTCCAGTTTATGCTACCAACCAGACCGCTGTCCAACGCTTCCTGACTTCCAAGTCTTTCAAGTCAGCGCAAAGGTAAATAGTATATCAAATGATTATTTGGGTAGCCTGAAAAAAAACTTGCTATTGATGTTTTGGTTCTGTTTACTGAATGTTGTGATCATTTTGTAACTTAGGATAAAGTTATGCAATACAAACGCAACAGGATAGCCTGACAGTGAGGTTCTAGACCAAAGCTATTACAAAAGGAAAGCCATAATTACATTTTTTAGGAGGAAAGACACGAAATTCTAATGACATGCTGGAAATGGTTTGATTTTAGTCCACAATAAGCACCCTTTTTCTAGTAACTGCTCTTGTTTCTTTGCCAGAAAGTTTGCACAGCCACATGCAGTCCATTGCACAAGTGACATATTTCCACATTTAAGGCTAATAAATTAGATGATAAAATTGTTACACCCTGCTTTTAATCTGAACATTGCACTCAACCCAACGATGTTGAGTTACAGTATCTGTTGTTTGTTGTTAGGCATCATGTTAAGGCAGGTATATAATATTGTATACTGTGTGTGTGTCAGGTGAAAAAATGAGCATCTTAATTGTCCCTAAAAATTGTAGACTCTCCACCAAGTGTGCTCCTTTGAACTACCAAAAGAAAATAATTACCCAGTGTGCTAAATTGACCGTAGATAATTTATGAGTACGCAGTTATAATTTACAGGTAGATTTAACATTAATACGTTCTTGTTCAAACTCTAAGCTAAATACATGAAGCATTCCTTTACAACATTACCATGTTTAATTTGGCAATGATTTTGTTTGCTAGGGCTGTCTGGATGAATCTGCCGCTCAACATTTTCAGTACAACAATAACAGTTTTAACAGGCCTGGTTATCTATGCATTTTATGCTTCTTGCGATCCTAGAACCACTGGAGAGATATCCACAGATGATGAGGTACATGTAATTTTTTATCTTTTTGAGCCCTCAAGGCAAGTATTCTACAAGCTGTAGAAACTTGAGAAGAAAGCTTGTCATGATAATTTTATGTTAAAACCTTATGCATCTGTGAAAACGATAATGATTATTTTACTTGAATGTTTCTTCAGTTGGGAATTAAAAATGCCAAAGAGTTAATTCTATATGGATTGACCTCAGGAGAATTACTGCCAGGGACTCTCTCATAAAAGTGGCATGGGAAGTCTCAGAAATTTTGAAAGGAATCTCTAAAAGGCTAAAATAACAGATTGAATCAGCATTTTTGTTCCATCATTTTTAGAATCTGCTAATAACTACGTGTAAAATTAAGCCAAGTTACACAATTTACTGGCACAATAAATCAAACAGGGCTTTGAGAGAACACAAATAACACAAGCTTCTGTTGGTCAATTCATTCTGTTTGTCATTCATTTACTGTTTTTATATGAAAAGGCCTCAATTGTCAGAAGGGCAGTGGAACAATAATAAATAAATATTAACCAATCATATCACTTCCGGTACCTCAGTTATTCTTAATACAATTAATTATCCAGCTGAGAGCTTAAGTTTCAAAGGTACAAGGAAATTAAACACTCAATGAGGTGTAGCGAAGCTGGGTATCACTCATAGATTTACAAATTGAGAAATTATTATTTCAACTGGTAGTGATACTCTTGCAAACGATATCCTAACTTTTTTGACATATGTTTACATAGAAAAGGAATCCAAGATGGGTACTGAATAAATCATAAAGACATGCTTAAGCATTGTATTCAGTGGAAAAACAACAATGGTGCATAAACAATCGCACTCTCCTATTTGCAATGGACCGTGACAAGTTGGGAAACAGCCACTTAAATTATATATTTGTGTTTAAACGCTCCTTCACACATTCCAAGCTTAACCGTACAAGGAACTTAACCTGACCTTAACATGTTTGCAATAATTTTACATGTCACGTCTGCTGATATTTATTGAATCCTTGATGTTTATTATGTGTTGTGCATAAGTTCACTGCATGTAGTTTCAAGGATGAAAGTTTTTTACAGAGGTTATTTTAAAAAGAATTGGTTGTACACTGTCAGCGGAAGGTTTCAATAAATCAATAATTCACAGCTTACATGTATATCAGTGACATCATTAGCCACCTAGAAGAAACTATTCTAATAATTGACAAGTGCTAAGTAAATTTTTTTTTTTTTGCATTCTTACATTGTATAAAATCTCTGTCTCTTTCATATCATTATTTCCTTGCAATACAGATCTATCAAACCATAAATTTCTGGCATCAGCACGAAAAATTGGTGAAAAATATAACTTATAAATTCTATGAAAACTTTGTCTTGCCAATTCTTGTTCTGTAACCAAATCCCAAAAATGTGTAATTGGTATGATGGCATAAATATGTGGGCATTTTACACCAAGGAAACTTCGAACGTATTTTTAATTTTTATTGTTTATTTCCTGCTGAAAAACACCCTAACCAAAGGATTACAACTTCCTAATCGACAAACTCTCTGCTATTTTCTACGCACTTCCTGCAAAATCTTCCGACGACAGTGCAGGAAATACCCGAAATTATTGCGTTCTTTGCGGAAATTATCTCTAGAAAACTTGTGAATTCAATATGATGGGTGACCAGTTGTATCTTATCTATAAATATATGAAAAGATATTGTTTTTATCCCCGTTTCAAGACAACACAACATTGTTATAAAAGCGGGAATAGACATCTTTACTAATTGTTACTGATTCCAATGAGTCACCGGCTAAAACTTTATTAGCTTGTGTATGTCAGGTTTCTCTCGATAAAATATAACTGCCTTTGATGATTGAATTAGTTCACAGGTTTTGTGTTTTGACACATACAAACAGAAACTAACCAGAGCTCACCATATGAAAAATTGCGACAAAGACAACGTAATCATCATACTATTTAAGCTCATAGTAAAGTTGTAAAACTTACGTAAGATTTTAAGCTGCTGTAAGCTTAAAATTCCAGCTTTAACACGCAGAGAGAGGAATGAAACAGAAATTTGTGTTATTATCCAAGAATTAGCACGATTAAGACATAAGCTGAAACTGATTTTGTGCAAGTTAGAGTGAAAATAATTGAGTCAAAGCGTGTTGTAGGTTATTGTTTTTATTAGAGGGCACCTAGAGAACGCTAGAGGTGTAATTACTCAAATTCATGGTTCTAGTCAACAAGGGTTCAACAAGGGTTCAACAATCTTGCCATCACAGTCTGCTGTATGGGAGTCCCCACTCACAAACCCTTCTACCCCCTATCAGGGCTTAACCTTAGAAAAAGTACATGTTTCTGCAGTGGTCATCCATTCTGTGGTGAGGGGAGTTACAATTCTCTTATTTGTTTCTTAGTAGGGATTAATGGGGATAGGCTCATATGGAACAGGAAACGTAGACATCACCTTTTACACAGTAACCCCTGAGAGTGGCTTGCAGTCATACTGTCATGTACATCAATCAATCAATCAATCAATCAATCAACCTTTATTTTAAAACAATGGTTTTCAAAGCTACAAAGCTTGTGGGGTCATTTAACAAAGGATCTAATGTGCTAATGGACTTCATAAAAATTATCATGTTTATTTCAATCTGTAGATCTTACCATACTTTGTGATTGAAGTGCTTGGCAAGTTTCATGGTATACCTGGAGTCTTTGTAGCGGCATTGTTCTGTGGCACTTTAAGGTACATTGCCAATAACATCATTATAGTTTATTCTTTCAAGTCAAGTAGTGTTTGTACACAGGCTAATAATTACTCCTGCAGTCAGGAGAGGCACGAACAGGGAGATGGTTTGTGTAAGAGCACAACTCAATGATTCTCTTTGGGACCCGATAAACGGGTGCTCCAGTAGTTCTGGAGTTAGTTTACATGATCTGTATCAAAAACAGTTTTCAAAAGCATAAGGGCCTGTTGGTTTTCCATGTGCAGCATTGAACAAATGCTGCAACGGTTACCGTATAAGATTTGCAGTGAAGGAGGCAAACAAGAGGTCCACCATTGCTATTGTCCCCATGTTGCTTTATTGATCAACTGACACACACCAGTACTGCAGAAGTCCTTGCCCCTTAATTGTGTCTTATGTATAAATATTCTCAGTGAGTGCATTCTTTTTTCCCTTTTTTCCTGCTCAGTACTGTAGCATCAGGACTCAATGCTCTGGCAGCAGTAACAGTTGAGGATTTTGCACCTATGGTGGTGCAACACATCCCAACTGAAAGAGAGGCACTTGTGTCCAAGTTGTTAGGTAACAGTAAACTACTGGATGTATAAATACATACTGTATTGCAGTGTTGTGTAAAGGGCTATACCCCATACTCTTTTGTATGCATTGCATGCCTAAATAACTAAGAACATGTGTGTTCAACAATAAGCAAAGCTTTTACAAAATGAAAAAGAAAGTAACATTTATTTAGTTGTGTGTTCCTTTTTTACTGTCTGTTAATTCTGAGAAGTTGTTCGTCAAGAAGATAATAATGTTGTTGATGATTATTTTTTCGTGTCAGTGGTCTGCTTAACAATGTTTTGATTTGTTAGAGGAAATTTGATGTTGATCAATGATTTTTTTTTTCCAACTGACTGACTGACTGTCTGTCTGTCTGACTGATTGCCCCAGTGACTGACTGACTGACTGACTTTCATGAGTGTTTACAATTAAACAATAAGATTATTCACGCTTGATTTCTATCGCGTGATAGTTGAGGGTGCAGCCCGAGTCAACTATCACGCGATAGAAATCAAGAGCAAATAATCTAATTGTTTTAGTATAAATCTACTAGTCATTCAAAACTTTATCCAAATCCTCTTCACAGACACTCCACAGACATGAAAACACAAAGAAGCAGTCGTCATTTTGGTAAAAACTGCACACTGCTATGTTACTCACTATCTATCATAGAATAGAAAGTGAGTAGCATAGCCAATCGGAGAATGGAATTCGTGATGGAACGCTAGTAGATTTATACTAAAACTCAATAGAAAGACAAAGAAGTATTTTCTATTTCTTTTAGAAAACACTGCAAGTAAAAGAGAGAGGAAAATCACTCTTTGATTATTAAAATTCAATTTCTTTTGCTTGCACCGTCATTAAGTAGACAGATCATGCTAGTTTTGTGCTTCTTTCAAGTTACTCTGTAGTACTTCTAACAGCTTTTAGTGTAGGCTTTCTTACAGGGTATTTTCTCATTTAATCTACAGTATGCATTTATGGCCTCATCTCGCTTGCATTGGCTTTTGTGGTCTCAAAACTTGGAATGATATTACAGGTACGTGCTGCTGTTGTTAAGTCTTGAGCTGAAGTAAGGTGCTGTGAAAAAGTGATGGAAACAAATATTAGACAAAATGTGAGTCAAATTTCAGGGTTTTTAAAGCGTATCACAGTATGAACTAGTACATGTAACTTAATGACTTTGTTCTTACATTTATATCATTATCTCAGGTTATCCTGATATAGGTGCTGTGCTTTTTAGTTAGCGATTACCTGATGTCATATGAAAACTTTGCCCACAGTACTTATCTTTGTGAAAGATACTGTGATTGTATCATTAAACACTGGCATTTATATAGGTTTTAAATATTCTTATTTGACATTCTTGTCAGATGAGTGCAACCATGTTTGGAACCACAGGGGGTCCAATGCTAGGTCTCTTTTCTCTTGGTATTCTGACAACTCGTGCGAACTCAAAGGTAAGCCAGACTACTTCTGCATTCCGTGATTGAACATCTGTCTTTAATTAATTTATGCCGTTGATTGTTCAACTGTTAAATGAAATTGATCTGCTCTTAAGATATCTTAACTTTGAGATTCGACCTGAGACATTCCACAATGACGACTTAGCCACATTGGTCTAAGTTGCAAGGTCAATTTTTTTCCTGCACCAGGGCAATAAAATTCAGAAATTAAAATCTTGTTTTGTACAGTGCATGTTTGTAGAGAAAATATTTACCAAGAAGTACATGTTAAGTTGGTTGAAGGTTAAACACGATGTCATTGCATTTCAGGGTGTGTGGATTGGAGTGGCAGCTGGCTTTTGGACAGTCACTTGGATCAGTATAGGAGCACTGATACACCCACCACAGTACCCCACACAGCCCATGTCTGTATCTGGGTGTCCCAGCAATGTGACAAATTTTAATATGTCATCAATACAACCAGCACCAAGGTAAGTATTCGAGATTGTAACCAAAGCAGATAGACTGGTTGAGAAAATTGAGTGGGGATTATGAAGGCTTTTCTTGCACTAAGCAACCCCTTTTAAACCAGCTCTGTTTTACCTTCACTATGGATGTCTTAGATGCAACTACACAACTTTAAAATAAGTCATACACGTATGAAATGTGCAGATATGTGGTCTGTGAATGAAACCAAACTGAACGATTTCCTTGGAGTGTAGTTGCAGCAAAGTTGGCAAAGGGGTTCTACCTGAATTGCATTGTTACACACACTGAAATTTTAAATTTTCGTTTATAAACCTGCTATAATAATGATAACCGCTTTATTGAAGTATCAATGTATTTAGTATTAACTACTAATTGGGGACACAAAAAAAAGGTTAAATTGATTTACAATTAAATAAGTTTAAAAAGAAGTGTATATACAATCAATCTGCAAAAATGTATGTATAAGTAGTACATGAAGACAGTAGGCATATTATAGGTAGTCTTTACGAATTACAGAGGTTACAACAATTATTGTTGTTGTACGAAAAAGACGTGAAGTCTTTTTTCCTAATGTTCTTTTTGAATGATTCGATATTCAGAGAGCCTTTCAATTTATTATCTACTTTCGACCATATGCGCGGTCCTTGATATCTTAGAGAATGTTTTCCATAGTTTATAGTATTAAAAATAGGGATATCAAAATCACTATTTCTAAGTGAGTAATTTATTATTTTTAGAGTTATTTATAAGGCTTTTGTTGGAATTTTTTCGCAGCATTGCTCCTCATTCTGTGTATGCGTTGTCATTCTTTTGGTATGGAATACTGGGATTCTTGATCACATATATTATTGGTTACCTTGCCAGTTTTATATTCAGTAAGTATATCTGAAGGTTTCTGTATGTATGATAATGGACAACAAGATTATACATGTATTTGTTTGATAACGAGCGAGAGAATTTAGTGGATCTTTGAGGCCGCGTCCACACTCCGCCCTATTCGGTGGAATTTAAAAATGCAGCTTGAGAACGCAGCAGGCGGCTTTATTTCCACGGCCAGGCCTACCGTCCATACCAATCACGAACTAACTACACTCATCACGAAAACGGAGCTTTTCAAAAACGCCTCTTCAAACGGGAGAATTAAGAAAACGCAGGCTTTTCGAAAACGACGGCGTCGCGATAATCATGTGATATTTTTTTGTTTGAGTTTTCCTCAAGCACAATTCCAAAATGACCGTTGGTTGTTGTGTTTTCAAATTCCTCCGGCGTAGTGTGGACGGAAAACATTTGATGCGTTTTCAGGGTGAAACTTCAATTTTCAAATTCCTCCGGCGTAGTGTGGACACGGCCTGAAACATTTTTTCTTTATTTTGTTAAATCGTATTTTTGTTAAATATTATTTGTATGGTACTATGTAAATAGTGTTTCTTGCATTTTATTCTCTAATATGTCTCCTATTACCGTGTGGCACTAAATTTTTACGGGTGCTAATTTTTGCGATTTTAGCGCTTTTTTCTACAATCCGCCAAAAAAAGTTCCCGCAAAAAAAAAAATTCCCACAAAAATTTCCTCCTCAAAAATTTACTCCAGTTGCGAAAATGTACATACAAACATCACAAGTAGAATCTTGTTGTTGTCATTTATTCAAGACGTCTCTTTCGTTTAGAAACAAAACGATGAATGAGAAACAAAACGTTCAGAAACTAAGAAAAATTAAAGGTATACAGGAAAGGATAGTTAGAAGGTAATCCAATGAGAAGAGCATCTACAATTCCGCAAGCGCACGATATAATTCTGATAGAGTGACACTGATTACTGGATTACTGTGTTTAATTCTCTAGATGTTGTTTCACTTGTCAATTGCATACAGTTTAATTGAAAAATGTGAAAATGTTGTAATTTCAATTAAACGCGGCTTCCCGAAAATCGTAAAAAAATTAGTACCCAGCAAAAAAAACCAGTCTTTTACAATCGCAAAAATTAGTTCCCGCAAAAATTTAGTGCCACACGGTAGTAGGATTCTTTCTTTCAGCCAGTTTTTTTAATGTATTGTTGAAGTTCCTTACTTGCTTACTTACTATGAAACTATTAGAACGTAGACTAAAGAAGCAAAGTTTTTGCGAGTGTGCGTTTCTCCGTCTATCTGTCTGTCTGTCTGTCTGTCTGTCTGTCCGTCTGAGCCCTGGCCGGGGATATTGTGTTGTGTTCTTGGGCAAGACACTTTACTCTCACAGTGCCTCTCTCCACCCAGGTGTATAAATGGGTACCGGCGAACTTAATGCTGGGGGTAACCCTGCGATGGACTAGCATCCCACCCAGGGAGGAGTAGAAAATCAACTAGTCGCTTCATGTTTCTGAAACTTGAGATTAGCGATTTACGATTTTGGATTATTGGAATGGTTTTCTTGGAACATTGAGTTTGAAGAACGAAGTACCATGTTAAAGCTCTCTTTGTGCTTACTAAAAATCATTTCTTCCTACTTCGCTCATTCGTCTGCCATTCCCTCCATTTGTTCTTTAGCTGGTTTGTTTGCTCGTTCCTCTCTTCGTTTTTTCATTGGTTCCACACTGATCATTTCTTTCTTTTAGCAAAACATGAAGCTGAAAGAATAGACCCAGCATTGTTGTTCGACTACTCTAAATTCTGTTCCTGGTGTAATGGATCTTCTCGTCGACAGTCACTTAGTGATGTGCAGAGCTCTACAGAGGTAATGACGTCATCCTTATCCTTTGCCCTAATAAGGAAGCTCAAGGGGGGGATCGAAATTTTTGCAGTATACTCATGAGGTTTAAAACGCTTGAATAGCCATAATCAAACTAGGTTTAGTCTCTGGAATAATAAAGCGTGATTGGAGCAGTTTTCTGATAGCGTTCAGTGGCGCCTTTACTGCAACATGCTGTAAACCAACACTAAAGCAACCCAGTGGCCGATCACAGCAATAGCAACCACGCAATGAACTCGAGCTACCCTGTCAAACGCTGTAAACACACGTAGCTGACGCGTAGCGCGGGAAAATGTAGGTGACCAAGTCATGATTGTTTTTTTTTTCTTTACATGTGATTGGCTAAGAAGGTGACGCGAGAATTTTTTAAATAAGGAAAGCCACTTTCCACTTCAAACTGATAAATTTTTCTTTGTCTTACACTTCACAGAACAAACAAGAAAACAGCGCACACACTGAAACAGACTGACTAACTGACACAGATCAAATAATGTGAAAGATCATTAACAAAGGAGTAAACTAGAGTTATTAACAGGACAGTGGCATACTTTTACCACACTAATTTGCTACAATTGCAACTAATGACGTTTGCGTTAAGTCGGCTGTTACCAAAACTGTAGATACAGTGTACTTGAAAATTTGTTTTCATTCATAAAGTAACGTACATTTAATAATGATGATGATGACGATGACGATGCTAATGATGATGCTAATGATGATAAGCATAACATAAGAAGTGAATAACAAAGATTTTTTCCACATACCGCTTACATATGAATAGAGGGGAAGTGGCAGGGGTCTTTATATCTTATAAACTTTTCCGTTACACTCAGTTCAAGCCTGGGGCTTATCATAGTTGAAATACAATCGAACTGATCGCAGTCATACTGTAGCTTTTCCTTAATCCTATTGCAGTCTACCACAGTCATACCAAATGTGGTGCAACAGACTTTTTTTCTTGTCCAGAATGTAGTCTCCCGTTAACCTACTGAAACGTTAGTTATGAAAATAAAATATTTCTTAACATTCCACCTACTAATGATTATGTTTAACATCTAAAATATCGAGTGTGTGGAAACAGTGTCGAATGCTTCTTTTAACTGACGCGGACACTCCAAGAAGCATGACCAGTGAATGAGAGTGAGATAAAAAGAAAACTGGGAGGAGTGTGAAGAGTTAGCAGGGGATGATGGGAAGGAACAATTTGTGCCCCTGATGACGTAAAGTTATATGGACTTACGGATCCAGACTTCCGGAGTTTGAACCATGACCAGATTGACATGGGTTGTGTTCAGACACTTTACTCCTGCAGTGCCTTTCTCCACCCAGGAATGGAAAATGACACTGGACATTTCTTACAGCAACTTAACAAAGTGTCGGAAGATGGTCGGTGGGCTGTAACTTGCGATGGACTATCCATTTTTGGGGTTTCTCTCAATCCCAGTTATAAGGCCTGTTCAGAGATAATGCATTCTCAGCTTAAATTCTTACGATTTTTCAGCTTTCAGTTAAAACTTTAGCCCAATTCTTAGCTATCATAAAATTTGGCAGAACTCACTGAGATCGAAGCTATGAGTTTAAGGACCCGTTCTTTCTCATTTGACGATCCAAATTTTGACCAGTTTCTTGTGTATCGGGTAAACCCCATCGAGACCCTCCTGTTAACTTTGAATTAACTTCAACTTCTCTAACTCAAGTCTTATCGCTTTTTCCACACTAAACAGCAACTTTTCGTTCTCCAAGACTTTAATCAGGTCAGTATCAACGCCATAAACTCATCGAGCACGCTCACGTGACAACGCAATTAACAGAACTTAACTTTAATGTGCACATAACATTTAATTCGATTTAATGCTCGCAAAAAAGGATAGGGTATAAACAGCATTGCCTTCCATAAAACTTCGACTGAGTTCTTAACCTCTGTTAAGTACCACCGTGCACAAGCTTCAGTTAAGACGTCTTGATATAATTTTTCCCTTCTTGAACTTCATTCCGGCTCCATGTCGCTATTATACAAGTTAAACGGTGTTGCGGTATTTACGGTAATTTGGACACATACGAGGAATTTTAATGTTTTATGTGGTAAATAAAGGACACTGTTGCTGACGACAGTTTTAACTTGGAGTCATTTGCTTGCCTGAAGGGAATGTTTTGAAATATTACTTGAGGCCAGTTTGCCTTACAGTAATTTAGATGCACAAGAGGCATTTGGTATTTTTCTTTCGAGAAGAGGTTGCTTGGGGAGTTTCAACATACGGGTCGATTTTGGTCTTTTAAAGGCAACTTCTTAAGGTTCAATCGAATATTTTTTTGGTTCGTCTTCTTTTTTTTACCGGGGGGTGGGGGCCGTTTGCATGCCTGTTATTTTTCAAGAAAAATTGTTATCTCCCGTTTTTAGATTTCTCAGGTTACGGGTGCTGGTTTTGTTTCACTTGATTTTGTTATCTTAGGCCCCGACCATACTAATCCGTTTTCGAATGAAAACGCATACTTTTTGATGCATTTTCGCCTATCATCCACGCTAAAACGACCGAAAACGTTGATGAAAACGGAGATTTCGTAGACGGTTTCAAAAATGGAGCCTTTTGAAAATGCTCCGTTTCTAGTGTGGATAGCCGAAAACGGAGGCTTATGAAAACGGTGCCGAAAAAAAAGCACCATACACTGTCATCTCCATCAGCATTTTCGGACTTTTCAGTCGTTTTAATGTGGACGATAGGCAAAAACGCTAGTGTGGTCGCAAATATTTTGATACTAGTGTAGTCGGGACCTGAGTATACGTATGACAGTTGTATCTTTCGCGAATTCGAACCTTAACTGACTTGACGGGAATGAGAAAACGTTACGGGAAGACAAGCATGTTACAGAGCGTTAAAGAATCGCACAAAGTTGCGTTTCTCGTTTTTGGTGATGCATGCTTGATTGCCGCTTCCAAAGTCCAAACACGGAAAAGGGCGCGTAGGCCGCGTTCTCATTGGCTGAAAAACTTAAGTAAAATGGCATGTTTTCCTTGCTTGGAAAGAGTGCACTGGACAACTTTTCAAAACATTTGTCATGTTCTGCAACCACCTTGATAAAGCTCACACTATGGTAAAATCCCAAAAATTATTAAAATCCCATAGCTAACGCATCTTCCCGAGTTTTTTGTGAGAGCATACTCCCGGGAAATTATTTTTCTCACCTTTGCAAGTGGGTTAAGAAACGGTAGGGGTTGTACTTTACGAATTTTTATTACTTTCGGTGGCCACTGCAAAATCTCTCTGGAGTGCGTCACAATTTCTTTTAGTCTCCAACTTTTTTTTATCATTGTGGTTGTGTTGTTTTGCAGTCAGATGAACATACCCCTTTTATGAAAGATCAAGAGTGCAACATACAAAGTTAAGACTGGAAGAAAAGAGGGCTGTTCATAACGAGACATAGGAGATCTACAATAATTATTATCCCTTAGTGGCTTTATAGTTCACCTGTACAATTTGCTGCAAGTCTATTTCTTGTGGTTAATCATCTATCACCTTGATTTAGTGCTCACGTGAGGTTTTCACTTGTCAACAACTAATATTCCCTCTTCTACCACTTAAGAGTAGTTTGAAATAAATCTTGGATAAGACTGGAAAATGAAGAAGAAATTATTAAATCCTTATTTTGTAGCTATATTTTTCTTGACAAGAGCATTCAAATTGATGTTGCACTTTCACAGTTCCCTGTTACTGTAATCAGGCAACTGTGCGAATGGGTTTTTAGTGGGTATTTCAGAGAGATAATTTTCATCATACATTACACTTTGGAAATGTGATCAGTGACTTCTACCTGTTTTTTGTAATTATGAAATGACACTTCTTGTCAAGTTTCATTACACAATGTATCTTGTCTGGCATGATTATCAAGGTAAGAATATAGTTTTTGAGAAGAACTGTTCTTCATGATTCATAACTTATGTTTGAAAACCAACGCAGTTTTGAAACATCACAAACCATTACATTTGACAAACTATTTATTTACTGCTGGCCAGGTTCAAACTATTATATTTCACCCAATCTCATTTAGGCTCAATTTCCACTACTCTCTTGAGTTTGGTCTACATTCCTCCTGCCTTCAGGGGAGGAGCCCAGACTCCCTCCCTGAACAGCAGTTGGTAATTGAGCCTAAATCTCATTCTCTTCGATATTTTTAGTCCAGGAAGACTATAAATTATATAAGAAGTCCCTCTTTTCCCACGGTTCATCAAGTGAGAAGGAAATTGCAAGAGGAAAAACTGGCTTTGAAAATTTGCTTCTTGTTCCATGTACTACAGGTTAAGAGGAACTCCTATACATTAACTGTTTAATGAAAAATCACTTGACTGTCTTGACATTTGTCAATTAATTTTATTTTATCCACAAGGTTACAAATGGTCCTTTCAGCTTCCAGTCAGTCTGTCATACTCATCAGTCTACACAATTGACTATATTTCCTGCATGTTGGCTTCACGTGAAATACTCACCCCTAAAATGACAAAAAACTGGCAATCTGTTTCCAGAGAAGACCTGTTTTTCTCCAACACCCATGCATATTGGATGTTAAATAACACAATTTACAAGCTTTAAGTGGCATGAACTCAAAGGAAAGAGTAATATAGTACTGTAGATTGATCACATAATGTGCTTTTTGCAACAGTTTTACATGGATTACACTGCTTTTGCACTCTAATACTGGAAATAATGCAAGTGGTTGAAGTGCACTTAAATTTCACTAATCAAGTACATCATGCTACTGTTGACCGGAACCACTCATGCCAAACAAATTTGAGTCAGTTACATGTCATTCAGAAGGATACTTTCTCGATGAAGTCACCACAAAACGCTTAAGGGTTGGATAGACCTCCCTCTGATTCTGATAAAAATACATTGGCTGTTTTCTGGAAAAGTATATCATTAATAGGAAGTAATAGAACAGTGGTTCAGACATGCATAACAGTAGCAGCTGTGATAAATAAGGAAACTGTTCAGTGAAGACCCATTCTATATTCCATTGTGAGGTGAGGATCTGACATGGCCTCGGTATCTCCTGGAACTGAAATTCAGGAAAAAAAAAGTTGTTACAATCAAAACGACCACTAATTATTGAAAGTGTCATCCTCAAAAATATTGTAAACTGTCACTTATAAGCCCTGGGCTTATACAACTTTGTAAGGGCTTTCAGATGGGCTTATAAATAGAGAGCTTATTTCTGAGGGGGCTTATAACCGAAATAAAAAACATTTTGAAACGAGGCATAGCTGCACATGTTGATCAAAATAGGTTTTTCATTTACTGGTAATTAAGCTTTAAGGTGGCCGAACACAGTTTTCTCACGCACTTTTGTTGATGCAATTCAGTGCGTGCACAAGGGTTGCAAAAAACAAACGTCGTCAATGGAGCGATCATTTTATTTACTCAACACCCGCACTATCTGTGCTATTTTTCTCTATAATTGAACACAGTGTATTAATGGCTTTAGTCTTTTATTACAAAGATATGTTAGAAAAGGTAACAATGCAAAGAACCCAGCAATTCTCAGCTTTTCCTTTGTTACCGAGAGAACCCAGTTAAATGCAGCACATGCGTAGTGAGTCAAAAAATTGCGATTGAAAGAAAAATTGCACTCACGGAAATATGCCTATTTCTCCAGAACCACTCATTAGAATTTCACAAAATTTGGCACAAAAATACTTTAGGAAATAAGTAACTGGAGTATTGAAAATAACTGAACTTTAACAAAGGAAATTTCAGACATTCCCGTGAACCTTCAATAAGGGATAATTAAAGATCACTCTGTTAGATTATTAGCAAAATGGTGTTAACTTGTGAGAATCATTACAAGGTTGTTGCATGCAAATTATAAAGAAAATCTAATGACTAGATTTTCTACAAATGAAAAAACCGATTTTAAAGTCCTGTTTATATTTATTCGTGTTGCCATGGCAATGGCACATACATCAGCTTAACCGTCAAAAAATCAAAGTTTGTGTTGTTAACTTGCTGCCATTTTTGGCGACCGAGGGATCAAGGGTTTTAGAGAAAAAGGTGAATCAAACACAGGTATCAAAAACTGTGTTCAGCCACCTTAAAACATCATAATAAAACAAATTCAAAACAAGGAAAGCTTGAGGGGGGCTTAGATCTGGGGGGGTGAGGGCTTATAAGCGGCAGTTTATGGTATGGCTGTTTCAGTTCATAAATCCAGTTGATTTTATGTTGTGTTTTAAATTTTAAAATGAATGATGCAATCATTCAACCAAGGTAGAAAAAAATTTCAGTTGCATGTTCAAAGGTTTAAGCATTTTCAAGAAATATTAATATATAAAATAAAGAAAAAAAAACTTGTAACCTTCAATATGCATAGGAGACTACTTCAAGCATTCATCATACTTAATAGAGTATATCATCTTCCTCTAGTTTTAGCTAAGGCAAGACTTGTATTTTTCACAAAATACTTGCTTTTACAAAATACTTGCTATTTTAAGCTGAGGGCCCCAAGTTTATCAGTAACTTAAGTTACTGTCACGGGTCACCCTCATTAAATAAAGTCTTTCACTTCACTTCACTTCAACAAGTGTATCACAAAATTATGCCTAGAAATCTACATTATGTAATGTATATTATTAAAAACTGGATCATTGGATAATGGAATTCAAGAGTTTTCATTGGCTTAGCCATCATCATGTATGAGCAATTATACTGTATACTCATACTATATTTTGGATACATACATTGTATTATATTGTACTATGTGCAATCCAAATAAAACATGGCTTCGAAGTAAACAAAATAATTATCTTGTGTGTGTGTCTGAATTATTTTTTTAACTTTTTTCAAAATACTCAATAACTTACAGAAAAACTGTGTAATGTGTGTTACATTTAATGGTGAAAATAAGGGATTGTATCATTATCTTGACTCAATGCTGTCAAAGAGGAGGATCATCAAGCTATTACAGAATTCTTAGAATATACATGTACTCTTAAAGAATGGGCAGACAGAGGAGAGCCTATCTTGTTTAGGACTTTCTGTCATCATTTCAAACCTTGGCTTTACAAAATACATCACTGAGAGTAATGTGATTGTGTCATAGTAAAGGAACAAAGTTTCATAGTAGAAATTAATATGTTAACAGTTGCTATCATACCATTTAAGAAGTCTTCAAATCCTATACTCTCGTCAGTTCCCATTAGTGTATCTAGGGCAACCATCGAACTCGGCAGGCATGGCAATCGCTGGATCTTGATGTGGAAAGGTGTTAAAATTGAAATGGTAAATAGCTCAGATAAGGAAAGCTAAACCAATAAGTCATCTGTTTTCTTACAATGTATTGTAACACAATTTTACTGTTAAATTTTACAAGCAACTGAAAGGCTGTATTACATCCAAGATACATTGCCAGTGTCAGTGCCAGATTCTGTGCAACATCTAGCCATTGGGCCACCAAATAATAACATTAAACAAATTGACTTCATTATCCCACGTTCTACACTCTTATAGACCATACTAGACCAGCATCACAAACTGCAGCCAAGTGGTTTCACTTAATTTTTGGAAATTTTACTGTGTCATCTCTACATGTATTTTATCCATAAGAGTGTACAACACAGAAAAATGTGGTCATTTTGTTTTTCACTTTTATCAACTGCAAACATTTTCCAGCAAATTAGAGAGCAAATTAAGCAGAAATCGCATACATTCACAACAGCCCATAAGATCACTTCTTTTCTGCTTGAAGCCAAACAGTGCCTCGGAAATTCCACCCCACATGCCACAAATGACATACTATAGCAACTCCAAGTTTTAATTATTGGAAAAGTAGTAACTTGCGGAGGTTGCATTGAATTACGTTACAAATGAGGTAACTCCATTTCACAGACTGTATTCTCATTGACCCAATAGCTTCGACCAATGAACACACTAATTCTCTTAGTTATTATATACAAAATATATTATTACATATTGTTCTAGTTTACCTTGGATGCAACAGCTCTTTCCATTTGTAGTTTTAGTGGAGCCTGCAGACCTTGGGTATTTCTAAGCATCTTGAAATCAAGCATTTCTTGATTTTTTAGAAACTGGGACAACAAAGACACATGAAAATCACATTTATGATCCCGAGACAACTAAAGCAATACAACATATTTTTTTTAGTTTTAACTGCTGCCTACAACTAATCAATGGTTATTGTGAATGTCATGGTACCAAGCTATAACACTACAGACCTTGGTACAGTTGTCTACTGTGCTGCAACTTCCAGTAATTAATTTTTTGTTAAAAGGTGTTCTGACTATTTTTCTCTAAGATTTACATAAAACCTGTAAAATGTAACAAATCTACAACAACATTAGGTTCTCTTAACTCAAGCCCAAACATCTAGTTTAAAATTAATCCTCAACCACACAGAAAAAAAAAACTTTACATAAGTCCAAATGCAGAAGAAAAAAACTTTTTTTTTTGTTAAATGAATGTAAGTGACTCACGGTTTTCTCTGTAGCTTCTAAAGGATGACTTGTAGTTAATGCACTTTTGACATTTGAGAACCTTTAAATACATAAAAAAGAAAACATGACTAAGCACTCTTGAAGAACCTTGATTAATAAGTTGGACTTCTAAATGGTTTCAACAGGACTGTCAATAAGGGTTGTAACCCATGACACCTGCTACGGATGAGCATGTTTGATGGACCCTTGATGTTACGGGTGAACTTGCTTAAAGTTGATACAGTTCACTCAAAAGGAAACAAGTTTGTTATGGGTGTGAAGATCAAGGCTACATATGAATCAAAACTTGACAGCCCTGGTTTACATCAGTTGGCCATTCAACTATATAGAAAAAAACATTTTTTAACTCTACAGAAGCCATCATGGAACACAGTGCTGATAATTTCATTACTTACTTTAGATCAAACCAGTTTGATATACTTTGTGATTTGTTTTGTTAAAATTAAGCAATATGAGAGGAAGACAGTGTACAAGTTATAGATATATTCTCACCCTGTTCTCATTTGGTCTGGCACACCAAAATGACCCACAGAAGAACTTACTTCAGTCACAGGCTGGACTTTTCCAGGAAGTGCAGACTACGGTGATAGAAATATCAGTTAGCTCATTTATACAAAAAGTCCACTTAAAGCAACCACTGGTGAGTAGTGGGTATTGTAGCCAATCAGAAAACAGCACTCATGAAAGAACACTGGTAGATTGATACTAGTGGTAGTTGATGTTTGACCAGGAGCATCTTGTCTGTATCCAGAAGAAGGTCAGTAAAAAAAGGCCAACGAAAACTTCAAACTACGAAAGACCAGATTGCCAAGGTTGATAGCTTTTAGATAACAATACAGTAGAACCATGCGTATAAAAAACTTAATTAACACCCCACTACATGTACTGTATCAGTGAATTGCGGTCGTTTCGCCAACAAGTCGTTTCGCCAACAACTCGTTCACCAACGTCTTAGGTCGATTCACCAACGTCCTAAGTCATTTCACCAACGTCCTACCGGTCAATTCACCAACGTCATATATCCAATACTAAC